GAGCGGGGCCACAGCTCCCTGCCGGGCGGACAGAAGCACGGGCCTGTAGACGTGAGGGAGGTGTCCCGGCCTGCTCTGAGTTCAGTGCCGTCTGGGTCGTCACGCTGAAGGACCTGTGCCTCTTCCCAAGGTTGACGGAACCCCGCCCCCGCAGGGGCTGCCGGCACCCAGCCGCGTGGCCGCGGTAGGCCCCTACATCCAGTCGTCCACGATGCCCCGCGTCCCCTCGAGGCCGGAACTGGTGGTGAAGCCCGCTCTGCCTGACGGCCCCGGGGCCCTGCAGGCTTCGGAGGGGGCGCTCAGAGTACACACGCTGCCCAGCACGCGGTCTGCGGCTGCCGCCCAGGCCAGAGGTGACTCGGTCCCCCCGGCCCTCCGCGGCTCTCCCTCCTGGCCTCATTGTCCTTCCCCTGGGTTGGGTTTTACAAAAGGTCTTCCTGTCCCTCGTTTGGGTGCAAATTTTAGGAACCTCCCTGCGGTTTTTGCTAGTGCAGTGATAAGTTTCTTAACCCTAAATGATACGGTTCTGTCTGGGAAATAAAATGTAGTATTATTTTTGGAGTGAAAATTGTTCTCGATTCCTTCTTGTTAATAAGGAGATTTTGATCTGATCTCTGTAACTTGACAGCTTTTCTTTTTGTGTAAAACCCCGTATGTGGGCAGTGGTGCCGTGTTTTCAGAGGGCAGGGTGGTGAGTGCGTTCTGCTGAGAGGTGTGTGCACTGTTCACACGTGCTTGTGCGTGAGAATCTGCTTGCTAGCAGTTTGTGCGATAAAAGTAAACATACTGGAAGCTTACGGTGAACCGACAGAGGCTCCTTGTGTCCGTGACCTTGGCGTTCGGTGCAGTCCTCGGGTGCGTGTGGAGGTGCAGGCTGGAGTCTCGTGGCAGGAGGAGCAGATGGAGGGAGGGCTGTAGGAAAAGCAGGGTAAAGACGACCTTTACAGGCCTCGTTCAGACCCCTGCAGGCAGGGAGCAGCCGGCTCCGTCTGACCGCTGTCACGTGCGGGAGACAGCCAGCTTCACGGTCACTATTGTTTGCCCACGTGAAACATTAGAGCTGCCCGGTCCAGGTGTTACTGTGGAAAGAACTGCTTTAGTTTTGCCTCTGTGAGGACAGAGCTGTGGCCTTGATGCTTCCTTGTCTGTGGGGAGAGAACCTGAGGGCGCCTATCTGTGAAAGACTGATCGATGTCCACAGTTTTGCCTTTTTTGTTGTGTGTGCGTCATTGGTGTGTGAGCTACACCCGGAGTCCTGGGGCCGCCAAGTTGGAAAGTGTTTTCTCAGTGTGATGGTGACCGAGGGGTAGCGTGTCCTCGCTGTTTCCAGCAGATTTTCTGTTTACTGTGATTAATTTTAAAGAGTTCGAGTACATTTAATTTAGAAATATAAAGTCCAGTATATTTCTAAGGAAGTTTAGTGGGATTGTTGTAAGTCTGAAATATGAAGTTGGTTTTATTTTATTGTTACATCTTAAGTTTTTTGTCATGTTTGTTTATTTTGAGAGAGAGAGAGAGAGAGAGAGAGAGAGAGAGACAGAGACAGAGCCTGAGCAGGGGAGGGGCAGAGAGAGAGGGAGACACAGTATCTGAAGCAGGCTCCAGGCTCCGAGCTGGCAGCACAGAGCCCGATGTGGAGCTCAAACTTACGGACCCGTGAGATCCTGACCTGAGCCAAAGTCAGACGCCCAACTGACTGAGCCACCCAGGTGCCCCTTGAAGCTGTTTTTAGAGATTAAACCCTGTGGCAAAAGGAGCCATTGCAAGTGCCTTTCCAGCGCCGGCTTACCCGTCTTGCTTTTCTGCATCCTAGGCTCTAAAATCCATCCACTCAGCCCTGACTGGAGCCCCCCGAGTGCAGACGTCACCGTGAGCCAGCCCTCCGGGCCTGCACCCACCGGCTCTGGGCGGGCCCTGGACCAAGGTGGGGACCGAGGTGGGGTTCGCATGTGCTCTCCGCAGCGCTCTAGTCTCTAGCTTGTTTTCTCGTGTGTTGGCACCGGGGACGGTGTTTACTTCCAGACCACCTTCTTTTGTCTGGGGATTAAAGTACCAGCACGGCAGCATCTAGGTTATTCTGTAGTCGACTTAATTTAGAAATAAGAAAGCATTTAGTGGCTACAGAGTTTCAAAGACTTTGGAGAGAGAGAAACTTCTGTGTGAAAAAGAAATTGTACTACAAACAGCTTGAATACCCGTGTGATTTTTTTTTTCTGTCTCCAGTTGACGATGGAGAGGTTCCCCTGAGAGAGAAAGAGAAGAAAGTTCGCCCCTTTTCAATGTTGGACTCGGTGGACCAGTCGGCTGGCCCTGCCCCCTGTGGGGGTCTGAGGAAAAACCAAAGCAGTGAGGACATCTTGCGGGACGCTCAGGTGCGTTGGGATAGCTCGGTGTTAACACCCGCTGCTCGTTCTGTACATGCCCCTCAGAAGAGAGAATATTGTATGAGGGAGAGCAGGAATCAGACCAAAATATATCTGCAAGATGAGAAAACAGAACAGAATTTGGTGATTTTAAATTCTGCGGCTTAAGTGTCTTTGTGGTCTCACCCCCGTGTTGGAGAGCGGCTGCTTTGCCTGCTGCTGGTTCATGTTTCGCGTGATTCTCTAAAAAACTGAGGGTGCATTGAAGAACAGTCGTATTTGCGTCCTTCAGTTACCTTGGTTCTTCAAAACCGGGAGCTGAGTTTATGTCTGTGACGGTTTTGTGTGTTAGAACCGCGGCCTTGGACGGCGTGTTGCCCGAGGCGGCGGCCTGGTTTGTGTCCATCCTGATGAGTGCAGAGGATGTTCGGTTTGGGGGCCACCGAGTACGTAAGGTGGCAGTTGAGGTTTCCGAGCGGGCACCCAAGGGTTCCTACGTAGGAAGTGGCAGCAAGGAGTCATTCGGGGCAGGGATGGTGTTGCATCACTGAGCTTCCTTATTTAATGTGGTTAAATTCAGAGATTTAAAACTTTTTAGTGATTTAAAAACGTAGAGCTAGTGTCTTTAGCGTGACTTATATTGGCGAAATGAGGTTGTCTAGACATCCCGCGGACCCATTGAGGCAGTGTTTTGACTGGCTTTGTACGTGTGTGTATTACAGGCTGCAAATAAAAATGTGTCTAAAGTACCGCCTCCCGTTCCGTCAAAACCAAAACAGATTAATTTGCCTTATTTTGGGCAAACGAATCCGTCACCCTCAGACGTTAAGCCGGACGGAAACCCTCAGCAGTTATCAACAGCGGCTGCATCCGTGGGAAATAAACCCAAGACAGCAGGGCAGCAGCGGGGTCTGCTGTCCCCCGGCGCACCTTCCGTCGGCCAGGGCCCGGCCCTCGCTCCAGCTTGTAAGCAAGAAAGTCCCCCTGCGGCCGCCGTCCGGCCCTTCACTCCGCAGCCTTCCAAAGATGCCCCTCCTCCGCCCTTCAGAAAGCCCCAGACGGTGGCCACGAGCTCCATATACTCCATGTACACGCAGCACCAGGCGCCCGGGAAGAACTTCCAGCAGGCCGTGCAGAGCGCGTTGACCAAGACGCATTCCAGAGGCCCGCACTTCTCAAGCGGTGAGCTTCTGGGCCCGGTTTTCCCCGGCGCGGGTGGCCGCGGGTGACGTGGTCATGTCCTCCCCAGAGCTGTCCTCTCTCGGTACACAGCGAGATGGCTTTGTTCTCGGGGTTTTGTTTAATTTGCCTTCTGTTCTCAGGAACCATCCATTAAACGTCAGCCCACTGCAGTAGGCGCTGGGGAGCGTAGGTGATAGATGACTAGAACCCATGGCGGACATGGCTGTTTGCACGGTGGCGACCCCGTGCACTTGTTCCCTGCTCCTGGTGGGCGAGGCGCACACAGGCGGTCCCCGCGCACCGGGCCACGTCCTCGCTGCGGGTCAGACCGCACACATGCCCTTGGCGCGAGGAGGCCTGGATAGCTGCCCCTGAGTGCTTTTCAGAAGAGCGCTCCTTCCTCTGTTTCAAGCCGTTCTGATGAGCACAGAGCTGCTAGTTAAAAGCATAAAAAGATACACAGTCTGTTGATTTGTTGGGTTCTGAGAGTCATTAGTTTATAAAACCAGAATAGAGTTCACTCTCTTTTACTGAATGAAATTGGCTTTCTAGTCATGAAATCAGCGTGCATTTGTGGCCTGAAGTGTCCCGAAAGTGATCAGACGACAGACACGTCCCGCACGTGCCACAGCGGACTCGTCCTTAGTGAGGCCTGCTGACACAGTGATTCGGGAATTGGATAGCTCTGACCTAATCAGAACGATAAGGGGAAGGGTTTGGGCAAATAGAAGTGGTTCTTGAGAACTCAGGAAGCCAAATATGATTTTCCACGTGGGTTTGCTTTTGAAAAGTGGGAAAGAGAGGGTGGTGCGTGATTCCTTTTAATCTGGACGCAGGAGAGGATTACCAGCCCCCGTTGCTTTTATGCTGTTTTCATGGTTTGACATTTTAAGTTTGTGTGCAACAGCCAGTGATTGCTTAACGGTTACAAGGGCAGCATTTTCTTATCGGCACATAAAATAATGGCGTGTTACAGCCAACGAGAGTTTTCGTTCTGTCAGAAGTTCACTGTGCCGCGATGGAAGCCTTGCTTTGTCCTTCGCTGGGTGTAAAAACTGGTTGTGGTGCAGGGTGCTGGGTAAGGACTGGAAAATTAAAAGACGTTTTAATCATCGTCAGCTGGGTCTGTGACCTGCCGGCTTTATTGAATACTGATCGGGGCTTTGTTTCCATTTTCCAATCAGTCTACGGCAAGCCTGTGCTCGCTGCTTCCCAGACCCAGCAGCAGCATCCGGAGAACGTCTATTCCAGCAGCCAGGGCGAGCCCGGCAGTCCCGAACCTGACCCGGAGCCCGTGGCGCCCGCTCAGGAGAACCACGAGAACGAAAGAATTCCTCGACCGCTCAGCCCGACCAAATTGCTGCCTTTCTTGTCCAATCCCTACCGGAACCAGAGTGACGCTGACTTAGAAGCCCTGCGGAAGAAACTGTCCAACGCCCCACGGCCGCTGAAAAAACGGAGCTCCATTACAGAGCCAGAGGGGCCCAATGGGCCAAATATCCAGAAACTCTTGTACCAGAGGACCACCATCGCTGCCATGGAGACCATCTCTGTCCCCTCGTATCCGTCCAAGCCGACTCCAGGCACGGCCGACTCAGAAGGCCCAGGAGAAATCCAGAATCCGTACTCACATGTGGAGCCAGAGAAGGAGACGGTCTCTCTGGTTCCCGAATCGGTGTCCCCGGAGGAAGCGGGGAGCACCGGTGCGGAGAACGGCGACATTCCAGCTCCTTCACCAGGCCTCGACTGTGTGCCCGAAGGAGTCCCAGACGGCAGCCCACGTTTCCAGAATAGTGTGGAAGAACCGAGAGCAGAGACTCCGCACCTGCTCGAGGTGTACCTGGAGGAGTACCCCC